CACCTGTTTTATCACCTGTTTTATCACCTGTTTCCTCTACAAAACTCTTGATTTGATTTTTCAGTCAGATTCAAAGAAATCCTAAAGTGGACGTTGTTGTTTTCTCCCAACTGTTGTTGTTTAGCAGCAGACTGTGAACAAATGTTACAGACCACAGCTGATGTGAAACTAYTCTATTAAAAATAAATAAAAAGATCCACATGGTTCAGAACTGACAAACACTGAAATTATAGATAGAATATACTTAGTTTTAGTTATCGTTTTCATTTTATTACAGTTTTTATTTATTTTAGTAACTAAAATGTGTTTTCAACTTCAGTTTTTGTTTAGTTTTAGTGAACTCTACTAACCCTGTCTGGTTCTGACTCTGTTTGGTTCTCAGGTCAACGTCTACATTTTGGGGAAAACCTTCCTGCTTCTGTCCAGAGAGCTGTGCATCAATGCCCCCGCCATAGGTACCATCCTCTTCCTCACAGCTCCTCACTCTTCATCACACAACAGCTCTGAGCTTCTGTCACCAGGCTCTTCCTCAGCTTTTATTCTGAAAGGATCTAACGTTTTTCTGTTTACAGTTCGTTTTATGATGTCGTCATATTTTTCAGCTGAGTTTCAGGGTTTGGTGAYGAAATAAAATAATTTAATAAGAAAAGAGGGATTTTCATCTAAACGCTTTAAAATCTTGGGTTTTTATAAAAACAACACAAATTCCCAAAAACTAAACCGAATAAAAAGATTTCTTAATGTAATAAAATCAGATGTTTAAACTAAGAAATGTTATTTAAATAAGATTAATGACAGCAGCACATCTACAGTTGAATTTATTTAAAACAGATGAGTTAACTGTYCCATCCTGAATAAAATCAGATATTTTATTCTGTTTCTATTTAATTTATTTTCATGTTTTCWGAATTTAAACATTTTAACACTGAGAGTAAAACCCTGCAGCAGGAAGTTTAAATCTTTAAAGAGGCGCCTGTTGTGTGTCAGGAACACAGTCCAGACTTTGACCTGTGACCCCAGCAGGAGGAAGCAGGGGTGCAGCTCACAGAGGGTGCTGCAGCACAAACAGCTGGACTCGGATCAGAACCGTCAGCTTTATTTTACACAACAGCTTACACACAACCCAGAGTTTCAAACGGGTTCTGGAGCGTCTCTAGAACCAGAACCATCAAGTCCGCTGCTAGAACTGCAGAGAGTTCTGGTCCGGTTCGGCCCGACTCACGAACCCAGCAGGACCCAGCAGGACCCAGCTGGAGTCGGTGTTTAAATAAAAAAATAAATAAAGTCGAGCGGCTGCGGGGCGTCCAGCCAGCGAGGGGCTAACGGGGGTCTCAGGAGTARAAGACCAGCTCTGGGATCTGGCCCCCCTGGACCCCGGTCCCRTTGGTGCTGTCCGAGGAGCACTGGAACTGGAAGGTGACCCCCCCACACTGCACCTCGGTCATGCCCTCCTGGCCGAAGTAGCTGAGCTCGCTGCCGTCCAGAACCACGCTCACCGTGTAGAAGGCGTCCTGCTCCACCTGCACCGGGTGCTCGAACCACACGGGGAAGGTRCCGCTGGAGCCGTCCGACACGAAGCGGGTCAGGTTCTGGGCCAGCGTGGCGCCCTGCCGCTTCAGCTCGATCCGGACGCCGTACTCGGCCTTGCCCCCGCTGGAGCCGTAGAGGCCCAGGCCCGCCACGAAGACCCGCCGGTCCACGGCGAACTGGATGCTGTCGCAGCGCCCGCGGTACCGCCACTGGTTGCTGCGGTACGCCGAGGACTGGAAGCGGTGGCAGCGCTGGGGGGCCAGGCCCGTCCGGGGCGCCAGCGGGAAGTCCAGCGTGGGTTTGTGGGCGGCGGTGTACCACAGGAAGAGGTTGCGCGTCTCCTCCAGCGTCAGGATGTCGCGCTGCGCCGCGCCGTTGGCGAACTCCTCCAGGCTCATGGAGGGGATCCGCACCAGGAAGAGCGCCGGGCCCAGCACCTCCCTGCGGTTCTGGGCGCTGGGGGCCAGGCCCCGCCTCTTGCACTCGGCCGCAGCCCAGTCCACCACGGCCTCGAACACCACGGCCTCCTTGGCGTTGAGCGTCTCGCGCTGCAGGATGATCTCCAGCGTCTGCAGGTCGATCTCACAGAAGCCCTCGGAGCGCAGCGCCAGCTCGGCCTGCGCGTCGATCACCTCCCAGCAGCGCTGCGTCAGGTCCGGTTCCTCGAACAGCCGGCTCTGCGACAGCAGCACGCAGGCGTTCCGCGCCTCCAGGCTCGTCTCCAGGAAGCTGACGCAGGCCTTGGCCAGCGCCGGCACGATGTACTTCTTGGCGGCGTAGAGCGTGGCGAGCACCGTGTCCGCCTCCAGCTCGATCTCATCGCTGTACATGTACCTGAGGAGAGGACACGACCCGGTGTCATCCTGGTTCTGTTGGCTCGGTTCACAACAAACACCTGCCAGGTAGAGTTCTGTTTCCTGCTCTTAAAGTGTCTGTCATGTTTATATTTAAGAAAATTAGCATAAAACACACAATTTTACCCATTTTGTCACAAAACTGGCATATTTTCCTTTGAATTTGGCTCAGCCAAAGTGAAACAGGAAGTGACATCAAAGGGGAACTCAATAAAATCAACTCTGGTTTTTGTTTATTAAAATTTAAACATTAACTCTTCTTCATCTCTCTGATAGTGACTAAAAATAATCTAAAACAGTCTACAGTCTGTGTTTTTGTAACAACGCTCTGTTTACATCCAGACAATCCCCTTTGACATCACTTCCTGTTTCTTCCCATTTAAATATCTCAACAACTGTTCATCTCAGTGACATGAAATTTGTTTTGCAACGTTATCAATGCTATCTTTCCAAAAATGCATTAATGTTTATTACAAAAATTTGAAGTCGCAGACACTTTAAAGTGAGCAGAGATACTGAACTCTCTCACTGGAGTCAGCACAAGGTACAGCAGGCAGTTTTACTATATAATCAAATCACAGAAATAAAATATTTACAGTCCTGAGATCAGACTGTACCTGAGCTTTTCACAATGATTTTTTTAAAGATTGAAGAGTTGAAGGTATAGTTATCAAAGAGGCTTATAAATTAAATAAATTTAAACTGCCTGTGACATTAAATTTTTGTGATAAATATGAATGCACTTTTGTAAAGATAACATGGATAACACATTGCAAAAGCAATTTCATAMCACTGAGATGAACGGTTGTTGAAATATTTGCATGTGAAGAAACAGGAAGTGATGTCAAAGAGGAATGTCTGCATGTAAACAGTGTTATTACAACTGTAGAGAAGAATCTGATGTTTTTTTATTTTTATTCACTATCAGAGATGGAGAAGAGTCAGATCAAATAATAATGTTTCAATAAAGACCAGAGTTTTCTTTGTTAAAGAGTTCCCCTTTGATGTCACTTCCTGTTTCACTTTGGCTGAGACAAATTCAAAGGAAAATATGTCAGTTATGTGATAAAATTGGTAAAATCATGTGTTTTATGACTATTTTCCTAAATATGAAGATATTTTCTTTGACTTTTTGTATTTGAAGGACAGGCAYGTCACAGACACTTTAAAGTCTTAAAAGAAACTGAACTCATCGGTCTAAAAAACAAAGTCTTAATTAGCCTTAAAATGTCTTCAGTCAGTCTTTAGATTAGGATGATTGCAATTTGTCTCTAATACTAAACTTATTGGTAACTTTTTTATTGTGAATCTGGTCTTAAATGTAAAACTTTCAGCTGTAGCCCTGAGCGAGTGCTTCATATTAATATTTTAGGCTATAAATAATCAGTATACAATGAAATGACAGACATGAGTGTGATGTGATTATATAGTACAACTGCCTGCCATAGAWAACTCCAGACTGCTCAGTTCAAACTGCAACTTGTTGGCTCCACATCAGACTGCAGAGGGAGTTGAGTCAGTAAACTGTGATGAAGATGAAGGTGTTTGAAGAAGAACAAAGAGCTGAGAGAGGAGCAGCCCCCCCCCCCCCAGATGAGTAATCAGAAGCTTTGAAGTGACGCTGCCCTCTCTGCCTCTGCGTGGCGGGAGGGGTGGGGTGGGGTGGACGGCGGGACCCTTACTTCAGCAGAATTAGAAAAGCAGCAGGTTCCACATCTGGGATATGGATTTCGGGCTCCTCCTCCGCCAAGTCGCCGTAAAACATGGCGCAGAAGACGGAGCTTCCCACGGCGAGCACGTACTGAAGGGGGGGGTCAGAAAACACAAGAGTCTGTTTTTAGCTCAAAGCAACGAGGAAACGAGAACAATGCTCCGCTTGGAGACTTTCCCTGTGAACACCGGGGGGCTTTACCTTGTGTGCAGGGACCCTCTGTGAGGCCCCCAGGGGCCCGACAATGAAGTGCACGTCAGCCATCAGCTCATTGTTGAACATCAAGGCGTTCCTGAAAGAAGAGCACAGTGAGCCTTTCTGTCCTCCACACCTGGGTCAGAGTGTACCTGCTGCAGCTTCACATCATCTCTGATCAGATTATAAACTGAGATTAGCTTCTGTCCACAAATTAGAGCCTTTGGAGCACGATGACCACATTTTGAACTCCTTTTGAGTTTTTGTTATTTCTGTGCTTCATAAGATCTTCAGTCGTGTTGAATTGAAAATTTGATCAGTTGAATTTCTTTATTCAACAATTATTTCCTGAAAGATTCGTTGAAATAGGACCAGTAGTTTGTGAGATATTTTGCTAACAGACACACAAGATTTTGAATCGATAATGGACATATTTTTAATGGTTTTCGTATAATTAGCCCTCAGGTCTTGTTTGGGACAACTCTCAGCTACTACCACTCATGATTTTAGCTCATTATCTGTAAAATGAACAGATTCGTAGCTGTTTAACTGTTTTTTTGGGTTAGTTTGCTGTGGCGGCCATCTTGAACCGCGTTGACTACGAAACTCCATCAGTTGAATTTGTACATCTGATGTTTATTTCCTGAAAGATTCGTTGAAAAGTAACCAGTAGTTTGTGAGATATTTTGCTAACAGACACACAAGGCTCACTTGAACAGATAACGGCCAGATTTTTAACTCAGTTTTTGCACAATCGATTAGCCCTCAGAATATGTATTCGGGACAACTCTCAGCTATTACCACTCATGATTTTAGCTCATTATCTGTAAAGTGAACAGATTCGTAGCTGTTTCACTGGTTTTTGCGTTCAGTTTGCGGTGGCGGCCATCTTGAACCTGGTTGACTCCAGAAGTTAACCAGGTGTGGCTGCACATCCAGTGATTACTTCCTGAAAGTTTCACTAACATCTCTGCAGTGGTTCATGAGATATTTTGCTAACAGACAAACGTGATGTCCGGCTCTATGCGGCGGGCGATGATGAAGCAGAGGCCGGGTGTTGCGTGAGTCCAGCCGGGCWGTGTGTTACCTCTCCCGGAGGGTCGGGTGGCTGCACTGCCAGCTGCCCGGGGGCTCCGTGTTGTTGTTGGTGATGTTCTGCTGGGTGGTCGGGGTGGTGGCCGCGCTGTTTCCCACGCTGCTCCCCGGGCTCAGATGCACCTCCCCGGGYTTGTCCTCCACCGTGGTGCCGCTGGCCAGGCTGGTGGTGTCGGTGCCGGCGGCGGGGTACAGCTCCGCAGCCATCTTCTCCTCCTCCTGCTGCTGCTTCTGTTTCTTCTTGGTGCTCGTCAGGGACAGAGTCAGGATCTCAGAACATACCGGCAGCCTGCCCGGGAGCCCGCTGACCTTCCTGGACTTCTTCAGCGTTTCTGGGAGCAGGAACAGATAGGTCAAACACCTCATGATCCGGCCATGATGGAGCAGCCTACAGTCGGCCGTGGGCATCGGCTCCGGCGGCGGGGATCTCCGGGCTCAGACCCGGCGCACTAAACTGCTCGGTCCGAACTGAAGGGGGCTCTCCTGGACCGGAACCAACGATTTACCGTGTAGTCCTAATGCAGCGAAGTTAAACCCCCAGGAAATAAAAACCCGTCGGAGCCTCGGTGTGTAGTTCGTTTACCGAACAGAACCAGCCGTTTCCCCGGCAGTCAGCTCATCCTGTCCGGACTAAATGTCCTCTTAGCGCCGTTTGTTTTCCCTTTTTTCCAGCAGTAATCCGGTTAATCCAGCTGCTCCGGGTTTCTCTCTGCCTGCCTCCGCGTTAATCCTCACAAATATCCCTCCGTCTCTCTCTTTTTACCGAACAATCAAAGCGGACGAGCCCGCTGTGGTCCAACAGAACCATCCGGAGCCGAGGTTAATAATCATTTGTGGTGACTTTTTCTGCTCTGCTCTATTTTTACTGCTTTTTTCCCTTCTTTCCATCGGACGCCCAGGACTCACTGACAACCAATCAGATAGAAGCTCTGCTGCGACGTAAAACTGAGGGGAAGCTCCTCCCTTAGCGGCTCCGCAGAGTGCGTCACCGYTTTGTCTCCGCCCCCCGAGCTGTAGGGTGGGGGCGGGGCTACAGAATAAAAGCCCACAGAGATTTTTTGGTGTATTTTCTGGACATATTTGTATTTTTTTTAATGACTTCTAACTTTTAATTTGCTAATATTTAGTTGTTTTGTCTTTAAAATTTGTTTTTTGCCTTAAAAAGGCCCTCTCATTGATTTAAATATTACTAACAATAAGAA